CGCAGGCGGACACGGTCCCTGGCCCCCGCCGCAGCAGCCTTTAGGTTTAATCAAGTATTTTCCGGATTACAAAGCCCTTTACGTTTACAGATTCTGTTCCCGTTGACGAGGTAATTTAGAATTACAAAGTATTTTCCACTTTAACAAGAATTTTAGGATCTGTAAAGAAGTTCCGAAGTCCATACAGCATTTTGGGGGTTTTGAGGCCTTTCCGGGTTTACAAAGCACTATATTTGATGCACTTTTCTCCCACGTTCCATCAGCATATAATGATGTCTTTGAGTGATAAATACGATGTTTTTCTTTTCTAGTGTATTTCAAGGCTCACAAAGCATGGTTCAATTTACAAGGAGTTCTAGGGTCTACAAGTTACTGGATGCACACTTTTCTCTCACTTTGACGCCTTTGAAGCCTGCATGTTTTTTAACTCGGTCTTTGAGCTGCCATGATTATTTTGCTGGGAGGTTTTCCCCTCTCTTTGTGGAGCATGAAATAGTGATGAATCTTAACATTGCTTTGAGTCCGTTTGAACTTTGGTATTCTACAGTTCCTAAAGCATTTTGGGGTTTACAGAGCATTTTTTTTTTAAAGATTTTATTTATTTTTTAGAGAGCGAGCGAGAGAGAAACAGCATGAAAGGGGAGAGGGTCAGAGGGAGAAGCAGGCTCCCCGCTGAGCCGGGAGCCCGATGTGGGACTCGATCCCAGGACCCTGGGATCATGACCTGAGCCGAAGGCAGACGCTTAACCATCTGAGCCACCCAGGCGCCCTTACAGAGCATTTTTAAATTTACAAGGAGCTCTGGGGTTCATGAAGCATTTTGCAGCGTCCAAGGGCCTTGGGGTTTACAGGTTATTTCCCAGGGGAAGGAGCTTAGGGGTGTTAGAGTCTTACCAGGTGCTTTTACTGCATCCAGCCCAAGCCTCAGAACCGCCCCGGGGAGCTCCATCCCCTCTCTGTCTGTCGGTATGGGTCACACTCCCTAGTGGGGCCGAGGCTCCGGGGGCCTGTTCTCAGTTTACCTTGTGTCTGGCTCACCGCTGCAGCCTCTGGCCTCGTGGGCCCCATTCCCTCTCTGCTAAGTGGACCTACCTGATAGGAGTTTAGCAACTCCTAAAGCTCCAGAAACTTCAGAACTTCCTCAAATACTTGGTTAAAGGGCAGACTCCCGGGTCCCAACCCCAGTTCCAAAGAAATAGACAGTTATGCCATAGGGCCCAGGAATGTGCCTTCTAAGCCTGCTTGTGTCCGGTGAGCCTGCTTTGCCCATGAAATACCTGACAGTGGGGCCAGAGGGTTACCATCCGTGGTGTATGTGGTGATGCTCAGATTTTCTCGTTCTAAGAGGCAGCAGATTGCTTTCCATTAGGTGTTCCCAAGATTTTCTGGGGCTGCCCTACCAAATGGCCACCAACGGACTGGTTTAAACGAGGGAAGAGTCTTCTTCCCTGGCTCCAGAGGCTGCAGGTCTGAGATGCAGGTGTCATGGGGTGGGCTCCTGCTGAGGCTCCCAGGGAAGATCCTGTCCAGGCTCCCCCAGGTCCTGTAGGTGCCACAGCCCTTGGTGTCCCTGGCTATTTGACACATCCCTCTGGTCCCTGCCTTGCCTGCTTTCTGTGTCCAACTTTTCTGATCTTATAAGGACACCAGTCATTGGCTTTGGGGCCACCAGAATGAGCTCAAGACCCTTCACTTAATCACATCTGCAAAGACACTTTTTCCAAATAAGGTCCCATCCGCATGTTCCAGAGGTTGTGACACAGACACATCTTTTTTGGGGCCACCGTTCCACCTGCTGTAGGAGGGGTGGCCCCAGAATCCTGTGGTTTTGGAGCCCATGTCCTTACTAACTCTGGAATTCTGAGTCTGATTCCATGGAAGCTTCTGAGCCAGCAGTTCTCAGACTTGAGGGTGCATCAGGCCTACAGAGGGCTCTTGAGAATGCAGATTCCCATTCAGCAGGACTCTCCAGCAAGCTCCCGGTGGTGCTCACACAGGCCTCTGGCCCTGCAGGTGCGGACCAAGGATGTGCTCTTTGAGAGCATCAGCCATCTGATCGACTACCACCTGCAGAACGGGCAGCCCATCGTGGCTGCCGAAAGCGAGCTGCATCTGCGTGGTGTGGTCAAACGTGAGCCCTGAGCCAGGTGTGTAGTCCGCCCCCATGGGCTCCCAGCATTTACCCATTCACCCAGCTTTTTTCTCATTTTAAAAATTAAGAAAGAATTCACAAACCACACAATTCACCCATTTAAAAGGTGCAACTCAATGGTTTTTAGTGTGTTTAGAGATGTGCAATCATTCTCTACCTAATTCCAGAACATTCCATCGCCCCAAAGGCACCCCACCCCCATCACCCCCTCCCCTCCCCATCTCCATTCTCCATTAGTCGTCACTCCTCGTCGCCCCGCCCCAGCCCCCGGCCCCCACGAGCCCCCTTCCCGTCCGTGGATGAGCCTGTTCCGGACGTGTCACCCACGTGGACTCACACCCCGTGTGGCCTTCCGTGTCTGGTTCCCTCCCTGAGCATCGTGGGTTCAGGGTCTGTTCCCGGGGCAGCGTGTGGGCTCCTCGCTCCTGTTTGTGGCCCAGTGACGCTCCGGTGTATGGATGGACACATGTTTACCTATTCACTGTCGATGGACATTTGGGTGTTTCCACTTTTTGGCTGTTACTAATAATGCCACTCAGAACATGCATGTCCAAGTTTTTGTGTGGATGTATTTTCATGGCTCCTGGGTCTATACCTAGGAGTGGAATTGCTGAGTTGTCATGGTAACTCTGGGTTTAATTGGTGATAAAACATCTCTGGGAGGAGGTGGCTCTACACCAGAGGAAGGCCTAGGGTGGCCTGGGTCTGTCTGGTGGGCATTCGAGGAGAGGTGGGGGAGATGGAAAGGTAAACCCTTGGCCTTTTGCTTTTGGTGCTGGGGGGCCATGGGAGGGTTTTGAGTTGGGGAGGGACAGGCAGGTCTGGGTGATTCTAGGACCTTTGTGGTGAGAGACTGGGGCTTCTGGGGGCAGTGGGGGGTGGTTTAGGCAGGAGAAGGTGTGGCTGAGCTGGGCTGCATGCACTGACTTGGGGAGGAGGGAGAGATAGGACCGGGATTTGGGAAGCCAGGAGCTGGGGGTTCAGCTGGGGAGGGAGGGGCTGCAAGGGAAGAGGGTTGTGGGATATCCCCCCCAGGGCTCAGCAGAGAGGCGTTTCCAGCCAGGTTGGGCTGCTCTCCAGTCCCCCTGACCACGGCCCCTTCCTGCCTCCCGGTCCCCAGCCAAGCCTGAGGCTGCGGGCACAGAAGGGATTTCCAGTCTGGGGACAGGCTTTAGGGGCTGGGAGTGGGCACGTGGAACACTGACATGATCTGCAGTGCCTTTGGGGCTGTGTGTTCGCACGTGTTAGGCTAAGACGTGCTTCCCTTCCGTCCCCAGAGGGGTGTGTGACCTGAGAAACAATGCCGATGGCACCAGTGGCCAAGTCCAGGCATGGTGCTCGGCACCTCCCAAAGCCTCCAAGTCCCAGGTGGTTCTGAGCATTTTTGCCGAAGGAAGGGCACAGAGAAGTGAAGGCCCTACCCTAGGTCACACTGCAAGAACATGGGGGAGCTGAGACCTCTCCCTGGCCCCTCAGCCTGAGGATCCTCACTGGGCCCCGTAACTGAGGTTCGGGGGGCCACTTGAGCCCAGGTCTCTGGTTGCTGTCACAGCTGACCCTTGACCTCGCCTTCTCTTTCTTCCGCAGGTGATGGTTCTCAGCTCCCGCTCCTGTCCTGCGCTGCAGATGCTCCCTGTTGTGGCCTTATGGGCTCCTCAGCTTCTCTCTGGACCCTGGTCAGGCTGGAGCTGCCGCTGTCTCTCCTTCCTCCAGCCTCTAGATCTTCCTTCTCCAGCCGGCCCTGGGCTGGGCCAGCGAGGCCAAGAGATGGGGGCCCAAGACCCTTTAATCCCACCGACCCCTGCCTGCCTCCACCCTCTGCCTGGGGTGAGGGTGTCCATACCAAAGACAGAACTTTTCTCACCTTTAAAGAAAATATCTTACAGAAACCCAGTCCTCTCTCTCCGAGCCCTGGCCAGGGTCGCCGCCAGGTTCAGGAGGCACCATCTCTCTCCCCAGAGGGACTTCAGCTCACCTCCCTGGAAAGATGGATTCCTGTCCTTGACAGCTCAGTTTCTCCACCTGAAAAATCAGTGCACAGTTGTCTTTTATGGGGAAGAATTGAGGTGTTTGGGGTCCTCAGGCCAGGACACCTGTGAATGTTGAAGTGTGGGGGGCACCTCAGGGCTCAGCTGGGACAGTGGGGGGCATCCAGGCAGCAGCCGGACAACCCGCCCTGGTGGGGGGTGGTCATGAGGGCCCTGCCCTCCCAGCTGTCCACCTGTACTGGACATTTGGGGTCTGTTTGTAATTACACGTGGGGATGATGGTGAGGAAGTCAGCCTACCTGACACTGAGGGGCCCTTGGGTTGGGAGGCCAAGGCCAGTCTCCCAGGTGGAAAGCCAAGGCACACGTGTGTCCTCCTGCAGCTGGAGGGTGTGGGGGATGGAGAGGAGGGTGCAGGCCTGGAGATGTGTCCCTGTGGGGGAGCACTGTCCCAGAACCCCCAGCACCACCCTCACACTTCTATTTCCACCCCCAGATAGAGCACCCCACTCCTCTATGAGACACAGCCCTGTCCTCTCCTGGGAAACACCATAGCTTATCTCCTATATGCTGTAGACCCATGTCTTTCAGGATGCCCCGAATATCTGGCAAACTGTTCTTCATTTCTCCTCTTGACTGCTCCTAACTTAGCCCTGAATGTGGCCTGACATTCTCAGGTGTCCCCACTCCTGACCCCCTAGGAGCTCCTGCTTATCCCCGATGCCTCTCCAGACCTTCCCTCCCAGAGACCTCATCTCTCCCTGGGACCCCTCCTCTGACTATCCTGAAGAGGCCTTCCTGACCCTCACCACACCCTGCCAGGGCCACACCTGTGCCTAGGGTCTGGCTCATCAGCAGGCCCCACCCCCATGCTCTGGGGGAGCCTGGTGAGGGTATGGGGAGCAACGGCCACTCTGTCTGTAACTGGGAGGGGGGCAGGGAGAAGCTATCAAATGGCAGAGCCAGAGGGGACTCTGATGCCTTGTTTCTTACTTTAGAGGGGCCAGTCTGTCCATCCATCCATCCACCCATCATCTACTCACCCATCCATCCATTATTCATTCCATTCATTGGTCCATCCACCTGTCCCCCGATCCTGGTATCCTTTAGTATGCCTGCGTTGGGCTCCCCTTATCTGCCAGGACCTCTGGTGGGTAACGAGGATGCAGCAGTAACCAAGACTGATCTGTCCTCATGGAGTCGATAGTCGAGTGACATCAAGCAGCAAATCACCACTAAGTGTGTAATGACAATGTGAACTTAGCCCAGGAAATCCAGGAGGGTGGGAATGACACAGGGGATATGGTCTGGAGGATGAGAGCCCCAGGGGAAGAAGACAGAGTGCTAGGCAGGAGTGATAGCATGTGCAAAGGCTCTGTGGTGTGTGGCTTGCAGCGCATTCAGAGACCAGAAGGATGACCTGTGTGGCTGGTGGTGAGATCAGAGGGGTGGTGGAGTGGAGGACACGGCTGGGGGGAAGCTTGGAGCCAGGGAGAGCTGCTGGGGAGCTTTGAAGCACAGAGATGATAGGATTCCCAAGTGGGAAGTACACTGTTGGGGACAGGAGAGGAATGGGGGGCAGTTGGGAGAATTCACTAGGTTCTGGACTAGGGGAATCTCCAAAAGTATCCGATTTCAGAGACTTGTAGGCTAGAGAGGGGTCCTAATGCACTTTGTTCATTCATTCGTTCCCCTGTGTCCTCCTTCAAAGCCTCTATGTATCTAGGACACCTGCTGAAGCATGTGCTAAGAACAGCACCAGCTGTGGGTGCTCAGATTCTCCCCACTTTACAGAAGGGGGAGCAGAGGCTCAGAGGGTGAGGTGGCAGAGCTGGGATTCCCACCCCATCACCTCCCCTGTCCTGCTCTCTGAGCCGGGAACGCCAGGTCTGGGGTGCCCATGCAGTGAGGGGGGCTGCGAGCCTGGCTGCCGCTGGTCCCCCACACTTTTCTCCTGCCCCCATCTACCCTCAATTATTTGGTCGGCAAATGCTCCTTGGGCCGGCCTTGTCCTCAGGGAGCCTTGGGGTGGGAGGCAGGCACCATGCAGCCTGGACTGCTTGCTTCCCTTCCCTGAATTGGGCTACTCCCCTGTGCCTCAGTTTCCCTGTCTGTAAACTGGGGATTGTGGCCCTCCTCCACAGTGGGTTAACCTGTGCCTTGTTGGGCCGAGGTCTCTCCAGGGAGCTTTGGACAGGCCTTCCCATAGCTCTTCCAGGGGAGGAGACAGAGCTCAGATGAGAAGCTGTTGGCCAGAACTGCATGGGTATAAGGAGGCTTCTCAGGACTGGAGCTTTTTTCTTTGAGCTTCCTCAAGGACCTGTCTGTGGGTGGCTGCAGGGGGCAGTCTGGCTCCTGGCAAGCCCCCTGTCCCTCCTCTCTCCCACAAGCTTAGGTCCCTGGGGGGTGGGAGTTGAGGACCAAGGCCTTGCAGCATGAGGTGGTGTGACTCAGGGTGGGAGGGGCTGGTTAATACCACCTGGGCCCCTTTGCCAGCCTCCGCATCTCTGATCTCAGGAAGGCTGCAGCCTGGGGTGTGGGGGGAGTCCTGGGGATCTGCCACACCACACCAATCAGCCTCAGGGCTCTGCAGAGGAAGTAGGTTTTGTTGACTGGAAGAGGTTCCTGTTTAGGGACCACAAGGCTAACTAACCAGCTGGAAGGGCCCGCCTCCTGGACCCCGCCCCTCCGAAGGCAGATGTTTGGGACCTATCCCCAGGTTCCTTGTCTCTCTGGGCCTCGGTTTCCCCAGCCCCCGAAGGTGATGGGGTGGGGGCCACGGGGAGGGGCTTCAGCCGAGCTGGCTTTGGTGGGGATCAGGTTCTGGCGTCCCTTTCGAGGCCGGGCCAGCCCCCTTTCTCACCAGTAGCAGCGTCCAAGAAATGATGACCAGCGCTCCCATCACAGTGTTCTAGGCCCTGTTGTCAGCCCTCTGCGTGTCCTCACCGGTTCAGCCTCACCTGAGGCCGTGGTACAGGGACAATCTTTATGCCTGCAAATTGCCCCGGGGACAGAGGCAGAGGTCTGGGCACCTGCCAGCAATCACACCACAGGAAGCATCGGTGTCAGGCTTCCAGCCCCAACAGAGCACCTCCAGATGACAGTCCCCAGTTGCTCAGCACGGGAATCGGCACAGAACAAGCTCAAGACCTCCTCCCTCAACCCAACTGGGAGGAGACCCTGCCCCAACAGGGTAAGGGGGAATGGGCAGTGAAGCCCCCAGCACCCAGGCCGGCTTATCATCAGAAAACCCCCAGAGACCTGACTCAGTCACTTCCCCTTTGTGAGCACCACTCTCCCTATCCATGCGATGGAGGAAGGTGGCTTGTGGCCTCCGAGTTCCCCCCTCCCGCCCGCTGCAAGATCGAGCGCTATTCTAGGACTCATGCTTTTTACTGTGGTCCTAGTTCATCCATTTGTCTGGCAGGTATTTATTAAAGTGTCCCCCCAGTGTCTTGGGGTCACAGCAGGGATAAGGCTGCCTTCCTGCCTTCCTCCCAGCAGCTCCAGGCCCGACAGGGGCAGTGGACATCAACCAAATACTTGCTCTGGGGCATTCTTCACCATAGCTAAAGTTGGGGTTCAGTGGGTACGGTTAGGCTGTGATGACCGGCCAGCCCAGGCTGGCTGGCAGGGCAGGCTTCTTGGAGTTAGAGGTGAACTGAAGCATTCATTGGCATCTGCCTCCCCTGTTGGACTTTGTGGCCATGCCAGTGTTCTGCCCAGGACAAAAAGGGGCTCAGTGTTTGCTAAGAGAGCAAAGCTGAGACAGACCTTTTGGGGGAGTCATGGACCTCTCAGAGCCTTGCTTTCCGCATCTGGACAAGGAACTCCAAACCCCACCTCACTCCAAGGGAGTTCTGTCCCGCTCCCACCTGCCCCTCTGCACCCCTTCTGCTGATGACCCAGTGGTCACTGCAGACCAGCCCCCATCCTAGCTGGGGCCGCAATGAGGAACACAGGAGGCTCCCGGACAATCATAATTTAATAAAGTCCAGGCTTTGGGTTAGTCCTGGCAATCCACTAACTTGCTGGCTTCTCACAGACCAAGAACGGACCCAGGACTGGTTGGCCTTAGGGTCCAGAAGGGGACATGGAGGCTGAGAGGGAGGGCAAGGGGTGAGGAAGCAGAAGTTGAGGCAGGCAGCGTTCAAGGCAAGAGCAGGCGGCATCCAGGGGACCCTGTGGTTTCAGGAGCTGCCAGGCCTGGGGCTGCGGCCTGGTCCTGCCCGTCATCAGTCTCTGAACTGTGAACAGCATGGTGGGGGTGCTCGCCCCTCTCCCCTCGGATCGCGTTTTCCTGCTACACGTTTGTCACGGGAGCTACAAACCGACACTTACAATGTATCTGTGTACCTGTCCACTGGCGTCCCTGGCACTGGGAATCATCAGAAGGCTGGACGCGGCGTCCACCAGCTGCTCAATAAACATCTGTTCTCGAAATGCAGGCCGCTCCTTGGGCGGCTGCAGAGTGGACACCCGTTTACTGTCTACCGGGGAGGAGCGCGGCTTAGCTGCTGGGTCCTTATGTCCGGAAGGAAACCCTCACTTCGTCCTGCACTGACGGGGGAGGGCCACCGCCGGGTTGCTCTGAGTCCTTAGGGGCCTGGCCCGGACAAGGCGCTCAGTGATAAATTTAGTTGCGCCCCTTGTTGCCATTGTTTGATTCATCACCCGGAGTCAGGAAAGCGGCTCTCCAGAGAACCTGCCTACAGCGAGTGTGGGTCTCGGCCCCGCCCAGGTGGACTGAGGCAGGGGCCAGGGGCTCCCGGGGGTCCCCGACTTCGCGGGTCCGTAGGCTCAAGCGCTAGGGGTGGCCATCCACAGGGCGCCACCACCTGCCGCCCACCCATCTGCCCCCACCAGCCCCCGGGGTCCGGACGAGGGGCAGCCCCCTGAGGCCTGGGGGCGGGGCGAGGCGGGGGCGGTGGCGGGGGCCGCTTATGCGGCCGTACTAGGAGGAATACGGCGGCGCGGCGCCCGGGCTGGGCGGTTTCCCGCCGCCGCCGGTGAATGAGTCCCTGCTGCGCTGCCGCCGCCGCCCGTGCTGGAGCTCTGGCCGCGTCCCCCGCGCGGGCCCCGGACCTTCGCGCCAAGACCCCGGCGTGCCCGCGGGACAGCCTCCAGCCTCGGGCCACCACCCCGGGGCAGGTGAGTGCGGGGACCCCGCCACGGTCCGCAGGATCTGCTGAGACCCCCGCCCCCACCCCGAGCTGAGTCTGGCGGGGGTGGGGGGCGGAGAACTGGCGGGAGGGGTCAGCTCGCTGCGCTGTCAGGCCCCCGACTCACCTCCTCTCCCTGCCCCCACCCCGGTGCCTGGGCCCTCAGCGCTGGGCGAAGCCACAGGTGGGTGGGAGCTTGGGGGGGGGCATGGGGCTGGGACATCCTGGGGGTCCGCACACACACCGTGGGTATCTTCCCTTTGGATTGAGCGCAGACCCTTTAGAAAGCGCTTTGAGATCCTTAAAACGGGGTGGGGGCGGGAGAGGGGCCGCTCTCCCCTGGGAGCTTCCCAAGAGTCGGAGCGCCGCCCCCCACCTCCCTCGCTTTGGCTCTCGGGTCTGGGAAGTTAAGCCCGATCTCTCTTGGGAGGGGAGGGGAGGCGCGACACGCCCTGAGTGACCCTGCTGACGCCCTGCTAGCTCCCTGCTGGCCAGGGCCTTGTCCTTGTGGCCCCCTCCATGGGGGCCAGGAGCCGCCTCTTCCAGTCCCCCGGTGCTTGGGAGCCCGCAGCTCCTGACCCCTGCTTTTCTTCCCAGACTCCAGAGCTCCTCCTGACCTCCGTCCTGCCTGCCCCCATGAAGAAAACCAACCTGTGGTTCTTGGAGCGTCTTCGGGGGTCTGGGGAAAACGTCACTCCTGGGAGCGAGGCCGGGGACAAGGCTTCCAAGGGGCCCCTGCACAGCAATGTGCTCACACCTGACAAGATCCCTGACTTCTTCATACCCCCCAAACTGCCCGCTGGCCCCGCAGATCCTGAGGGGCAGGCTGAGCTGGGCCCCGCCTCGACGGAGCAAAACCTGGCCTCGGGGACGCCCCGCCGAGCCCCGCGGAGCCCGCGGCTGCCTGCCAAGCTGGCAGCTGAGAGCAAGAGCCTGCTGAAGGCAGCCACCCGGCACGTGATCCAGATCGAGAGTGCGGAGGACTGGCTGGTAGAGGAGGCTGCCACCAACGCTGACCCCCAAGCCCAGGGCGCCATGTCCCTGCCCTCCGTGCCCAAGGCTCAGACGTCCTATGGCTTTGCCACGCTGGCAGAGAGCCCCCACACGCGGCGTAAGGAGTCCCTGTTCCACAGCGAGCATGGAGCCCTGGCGCAGGTGGGATCCCCAGGTGCCGGTCGCCGTCGGGGGGGCACCAAGGCCAATGGGGGCGATGGGGTGCCCAGGGAGGCTGGTGGGGCCCTCATGAGCCCCAGCCGCTACTTCAGCGGTGGGGAGAGTGACACAGGGTCCTCAGCGGAGTCCTCCCCGTTCGGGTCCCCTCTGCTCTCACGTTCCGTGTCGCTGCTGAAAGGGTTCGCGCAGGACAGCCAGGCCAAAGTGAGCCAGCTCAAGCACTCGGCGGGCCGCCACGGCTCCCTGTCCGCTGAGGACAGCGCACCAGACACCAGCCCCGGGGCGCGGCGCCGCCTGACCCGCAGGGCCACCCCAGAGCCGGGCCCTGAGACTGGCCAGGCGCCCCGTGCAGAGCACGCGGTCCGCATGGGCCCGCGGGGCAGCGTGCGGCTGCTGGCGGAGTATGAGGTGGCCCAGGCCCGCCTGCGGGTACGTCTCCTGGCAGCCGAGGGCCTCTATGACCGCCTGTGTGACGCCCGCAGCATCAACTGCTGTGTGGGGCTGTGCCTGGTCCCCGGGAAGCTACAGAAGCAGAGGAGCACCATCATCAAGAACAGCCGCCACCCCGTCTTCAATGAGGACTTCTTTTTCGATGGCCTGGGGCCGGCCAGTGTCCGGAAGCTGGCCCTCAGGATCAAGGTGGTCAACAAGGGCAGCAGCCTCAAGCGGGACACGCTGCTCGGGGAGGAAGAGCTTCCGCTGACCTCCCTGCTCCCTTTCTTGTAAAGGCCCCTCCCTGCCTCCCTCGCTCCCGAGGGGGCAGAGGGAAGACCCCCTCCCCTCCCACTCAGATCCCCGTGGGCAGGAGGCCAGCAGCCAGGAGGGGGGCTGGAGGGCTGTTTAAACTCAGGCTGGGCTGCCGTCCATGCTGGGGGTTACTGGGTTGCCAACGGTGACCGGAACACTATCTTTCATGGGTTAATTTTTTCAGAGGAGGAAGAGAGGGGGCAGCCAGGGAAGAGAAGGAGACACTTTGCAGGGCTGAGCACCCCCCTACCCCGTGCCCTAAGTTCCATGCTGCCTCACCCCTTTCAGAGTTCTGGAAAGGGGTTCTCCGGGGGCGGGGGTGGCCAGGAACCTGTGAGACGCTTTACCGTAGGCTTCCCAGTTCCCCAGTGACCCTGCAGGGGCCCAGAGGGCCTGGAGACCGCAGAAGTGGATCACAGACCTAGAGGTGGCCAGTTCGGAGCTGAGCCCAATATCTCTCTTGGTTGCATAAGAGTCTTCCTGCCCCGGCCCACCAGACACCCCCCCGCCCCCTCTGCCCCCACCAGACAGCAGTACCAGGTCTGGGATCTACCAACAGCGCCCACGAGGCTACAGGAGACACCCCACCTGGGTTAGGCTCCAGAGCAGAGCAGGTCAGCGAGGCAGGTGCCACCCACTGGGAGAAGACAGGCAGAGAAGGGAGGCAGCGTTGCTGTGGGGCTGGAAGTGGAGGAAGGCCCGGGAGAGGACAGCGGAGGCTCGGGCTCCCCTCCTGCCCCTGGGAGCCGTATAGCTCTCCTGTCTGCTATTTTCCTCCAGCACCTTCCCTGCTGGGCCAGCCCACCTCACGCTCAGGAGCCTTCCGCCCCTGGAGGGGTTGCTCAGAACAGGCCCAGAGCGCGGCCCCCAGCCCCCACTCCGCCCCGTCCCTCCAAGGCCGGGGGCTGCCACCCCCCTGCGCAGCACCCTTGGCCGCAGCACGCCAGGAAGTGATAGTCAGGGACTGATGGCTGGGTTTTCACTCCACACAGTAAATAGCTTTTGGTTAGTGTGGGCGGAAGCTGGCGGGCAGGGAGGACCCTGGTTGTGCACCTTCATGCTGCATGGGTTTAAAGTTGTGTCCATGTGTGGGTCCTTGAATGATGTCCGTGGATGTTTACCAGCTTAACACAACAGAAACGGTACAGTTTGAAGCAGGGGCCAGGCCAGGCTGCCTGGTGAGCATGGTTGGATGGGGGCAGTCCCTGGGGATCCCGGGGCACCCCTCCCCATCCAAACATTGTCCCTCCTGACTAGGTTTCCAAATCCCACTGGGGGAGGGATGAAGGAGATTTCCCCCGTAGCCGGGGAAAGCACTTGTTCCCGTTTGCACTTTGGGACTGAGAATTTGGGGCCCTTGGAGCTGAGGTCCCTTGCTGTGCCCCCTCTCCCCTCCCCACCTCTGTCCTAGGCCTGTTCCTTCATGCTCCCTGCTCCTGGTGTCAGAGGGGGGCTCCCCTTTACTCTAGAACCTGGAGACCCCCCCAGGGCCAGGCTTGTGGGCTGGAGCAGGTGGACAGAGGACCCTGCACTGAGTCAGATGCTTGGAGCTTGCACCCTCTCCCTTCCCTCTGACCCTGACCCCTGCTTTCCCTCTGGGGAGGGCCCATTTTATATGCCCCTGCACTATTTGATATCTTTGTGTTACAAGTTGACTGTGGGTAAATCCTTAAGACACCCTCTCCCAAGTGTGTTTGTTTATAAATGCTGTTTTTAGTGCAATAAAGGTGTTTCGGGAGTGTGGGGGTGGAGATCTGTTTGCTTTGGTGTTTAATAACAAGAGGAATTTTGCCTTGAGCTCCAGGGAGGGTGGTGGGGGCCTTCTCATTGGCGGAGTCCTCTCAGCCCATTCGGATCCTCTGGGTCTGTCTCCTGCTTGGGGTGGGGGTGGGAAGGCAGACTGCAGCAGGGTGGTGCCACTGGGAACCCCGGGCCCTGTCACCGTGGCGGCTAGCATGCATTTATTCAGCGGGTCTGTGTACAGGTCCTGTCCTCGCCCTCCATCTGCACACACAGCGTCCCACCTCACAGATGAGGGCAGGGGTGCTTTAATAACATGACCAAGGCAGCCTAGCTAATGAGAGCCAGGACTGGAACTGGCACCCTCACTGTGGCCACTGGAAGGAGGCCAGGGCCTGCCCCTTCCAGGCTCTGCCCACTTGGGGACACACTGGACTTGCAGCGTCATCACCAACAGGGACCCCGTCAGATGCCATCGGCTGCCAAGCAGGAGCATCCCCCCTGACCTGCCCCTCACCCTCATCTGGTCTGCCCCAGCCCCTGAGATCAGAGAGATAGCAGAAAGCAAGTGCTTCAGCCAGGAGGCCACCCCCACCACTCCCACATGACTTGGAGACACATGATTTGGAGGCTTGGGCTGCAGGTCATTCACATCGATGCTGGTCCCTGGGCCTGGAACGCCTCCCAGCCCCCAACTTCACTTTCAGGCTTCAGCTGAGATGGTACCTCCTCCAGGAAGCTTCCCAGTCCTCTCGGCTGGGGAAGGGGACTTTGCTCAGTATGTCCTGCATCCGATCTCAGCTCACATGCCGACTGGGGCTGGGACAGGTTCATCTTGGTCAGTGGTGTCCTCAGCTCCAACACCAGGCTGGGCACCCACGAGGTGCCTGACCAGTAACTGATGAGTCATTGGAAAGCCATGGCTTGACCCCATGCCTAGGCCCCTGCAGGGTCACCGGGGAACTGGAAGCCTGTGGTAAAGGGCGAGGGTCCCACCCACCCTTCACCCCTCCCCTGCTCTCACTGTCGGTGGAAGGGCTGAGTTGGCCAGACATGTGGAGAACCCTTTCCAGTGGAGGCGTGATGGGAGGTGGCATCCATCACAGGAGGCTGGGGTTGGAAAGGTGACATCACGAGGAGGAGAGCAGGACAGGCAGCACGGGCCTCCTCCGGCTCAGGGAGCGCAGAGCCCGGGCTGACGTGGGCTCTGTTTACTCCTGACTCGCTCTGTGTGACAGGTGGGGAAACTGAGGCCCGGAGAATCGAAGAAGCCCAGCTCCATCTTCACGGACTTGCTCAATGAGGAGCTGTGCTTCCTTCACCCCAGTTCTGGGATTAAGAGGTAGATGAGGCAAAGCTGGAAAGATGAGCCTTCCCAGGTGGTGCCCACCTGAGGTGAGCGCTGGACGCTGGGGACAGGAGCAGAATCATTTCATCGAGTCCAGCGGGTACAGCAGGAGGGAGGGACACCTGAACCACAACCTGGAAGACATGCAGGATCAGTGAGGTGGGTTCCAGGAGAGGGCAGGTGCTTGCCTGCTACCCCTTACTCGGCAAAGCCTGTGTTGGGCATGCCTGCCCCATCCTGGTGCAGCCAACGCCCTCCAGGTAGAACTGGGAGGCCTGGGGGGTCCTGCCAGCCTGGGGGGGCAGCAGGGAGAGCAAACACATCTGAGCGGTCGCCTTTCTGCCTGGGAGCATTTATTGTGTTCCTGCTGTATGCTGGAAACAAGACCCCCTTGGGGCCAGCGGGGAAGCCCTAAGTCACAGGTAGAGAACCCAGGAGCCCGGTGGGAGGGTCAGGATGTGGCCCTACTGCGTGCAGCTCCTACACCCCGGGTGTGCCTGGCCTCCTATGTGTGCACCCACTTCACAGCAGAGGGAAAAAGGGTGCAGAGCAATCCCAGAAAGGAGGGGGCCTTGAACCCATGCACAGTAGGACAGGAGCACAGACAGGCTTGGGCTGGGTGCCCCCCACTGCTGGCTCAGAGCTGGGGTCCCCTCGGACCTGCGCACTGGAGCTGGCTTCCTCTGGGATTCTTGGGCAGGCTGAGAGTGCTCTGCGCCCCTGTGCAGGGCCCTGTACCCCCACACAGGTCCCAGGACTGAGTTGTGTCTCCCCTTCGCACGCCCCAGGGCAGGGCGCGTCTCTCCCCACAGCTCCCCGCAGTGCGGGGCCCTGACTCCTGCTCTGACCCTGGGCCTGGCTGCTTTCTCTCCTCTTAGCCCCGTGGGGTCCAGACTGTCCATTACAAAGCCACCAGGAGCCTTTGTGCGGGGCTAGGGTCCCAAGCAGCACCCCCCGCCCCCGACAGCCTGCCAGATGAGCCACAAGAACCAGGCCTGGTCGGGTCCCAGGATGTGTTGCCAGGGCAACCAAGTACCTTCTCCCTCTTCCCTGTGAGCCACTGATTGCTGGGCAGCCTGCGTGTGTGCCATGCATGTGTGCGTGCACACAGCCATGTGCCTCTGTGCACACACGTGAGCCGCATGCATGTGAGTGCAGCCCTGTTTGCATACACACAGGACAGCGCAGTGCAAGCCCGGGAGGGCATGCGTGCACGCCGGTGGGGCATGTGCACGTTAGCACGTGTGTGTGCCCACACGCTCCCATGTCTACACGGCGGTGTGTGTGTGTTTCTCTGTGCACGTCGGTAGCAAGCCATGTCATGCACGTGCATGTGTATGTGCTGTGACTGGCCGTTGCTCAGGACACCCGGAAGGACATGCCCCAATGGGACCAGCAGCCTGAGAAGACTCCGTCCTCCTGTCTGCGTGCTGGCTCCCCGAGGGAAACACGCTTGCCGTGAGCTCCATTCTGCCTTTAGGTCTCAACCCCCTTCTCTTTCCCAGGGCAACCCCTACCCCACTGAGGTCAGATCCCCCTCTACTGCCTGTGACAGCAATCTGAGCAGGATGGTCTGTGTTTGCACCCAGTGCTCAGCCCAGGGGCAACCAGGGAGGCATCAGTCCTCTCTCCTTGCAGCCTGGCCGCCACCCCAGGACAGCCAGGGACATCCAGGGCCCCCGCCAGCAGTAGGCACCCAACTGGGTGCCAATCACGAAATGCTGCCCCTTTCTCTGAGTGGAGCCAGCACAGGCCACAACAGCCAGGAGAGGAGGAGTCCAATGCCTGCTCACCTTGTGGGCACCTGGATCTGGCTGTGCCTGAAGTCCATAACTGCATGCCATTTCGGTCCAGAGGGCCAACAAAGTCCCTTCTTGGCTTAAACCAGTTTGACATTAGACAGCAAGTCTTCAGTCTGGGGAAGTAGAAACAACGCTGGCCTAGGGCTGTCACAGTCTGACATGGGAAAGCAGAAGGCAGGCAGCCCCCGGAAGGCCTAGGGTTTGTATGTCCCACTGAGCTGGGAATGGTGGCAACCAAGGGCGCTCCTTTAGGGCACTGATCAAGGAGGGCTTTGCAGAAGGGGCAGAATCTGAACAGGGAAGGGGTCCTGGGGCAGCAAGGACCTTCCTAAGGTGGAGGAAAGGGGCTTGGGTATGGGGCTCCCCATGGCCCCGTATGCCCGCACTGGAGACTCACCCTGTGCCTGCCCCACCCTGTGGCTCATGCCCCTTCCCCAGGACCTTTGCTTTTGTGGTACCTGCCTCCCACCGCCCTGGGCCCAGAGTTCCGAACCCTCGTCTGGGAGAAGTGCAAGGGGAAGGCTCCATGGTGGAATTCAAGCCCCCCATTCTCCACTCTGCAGGCGGTGTGGCCTCGGGCACGTCACGTGGCATGTCTGAGTCTCAGCTGCCCCATGCACAACGCTCGGGTTGTGATGAGGTCCAGGCTCCTTTGTGGGAAGAAGGGCTCAATGCTCAGGCACGCTCTGCGGAAGCAGGCACAATATTGTGATGATAATTAATATAATCACATTAGGCTGATAATTATAGGCTACCATCAGACCCACTGAGGCCGGGCTCTCCCTCAGCCTCCCGATGGGGGGC